CGGTTTCTGGGTTGGATTTGCTTCGTCATGCGAACATTGGAGGAGTCGCAATATTCGGACTGGGTTTCACCAAATGTTCGTAGTGTCAGTTTTGTGTCACATTGCACGTGGTACCAGGACTAAGTCAGTGTTCCGGTGCGGGCAAGTAGGGTGAGGATTAACTTGCATGCGGCCCGTAGTCTAAAGGCACACTGCGCCTTGCCAGAGCACCAAAACGATGGCAGAGACAAAGTTTGTTACACACCGCGGATTTTACCTGAGGGATTGAAAATCTATAGTTCTACACGACTTTGTACCGTATAGTCATGGTACAGTGACCGCGATTACAGAATTGTGGGAGGCTTGAATCCCTGAGAGGTATAGAAATGTCCACCGATATATGATGACGTCATCGAGCGCTACATCTGGATTAGCACGTTATTAGCACGACTGGCACATTAGCAAGTTGCACCAGTCACCCGATACCGAGACCGACGCTTGCCGTCAGCAGCTCTCAACTGCGCATGCGCAAGTCCGTATGCCCGTCGTGGTCTCCCAATCACAAAACGCAAGCTCGATGCATGAACAGCCCTCGGAAGTGCTTACGGTCGCCGCGCCTTCGAGGAGCCACCACGGCAACGTCCGGGAGCCTCACAGAAGCACCGTGACCGTGCGCTGCGCCGCCCAGTGGCCGGGCCAGGCTCTGAGACGTCTGATGTCTGAGACGTGCTCAGCTTTCTCTCAGACTGATCGGCTGATTCAGACTGATTGCTGTCGACCGACTCAGACAGTTGCTTGACTGATCAGACTGATTGATCCAGTAACTCCGTACAGGGATCTCGGAATTGTTCTGCATCTGAGAGCGATGGTGGAACGATACAACGCCGCTCACAGGGCGCGGACTCCGGTGCCCGGCCGCCGGCGAGCACACAACGGCCTCTCACGAACACTCACTTCATTCGCGGTGTTCGCGGCATGCCAGCCTCGCCGCAACATATATTTATACAGAAGGCGGCGCTGCCGGGGCGAGCGCGGTGACAGGGCGCGCGCGCGCGCTGTTTAAGAGCCGTTTCTCTTAACCACGCGTCGCAGTCTCCCCGGGATTGGTAGTCGGCTGTGCGGCACGACATATAGGGTGCCATAATTCGTATAAATGGGTAGTGGGGGCCCCGCCTGGGCGGCGCCGGGCTGCCGCTAGCAGTCGACTGCTTTACGCCTCAGGAATGACCAGATTAATAGCGACATGGTGCCGACGAAATATGTGGGTACTCCGCGATATTGGCCACCAACAAGGCTGAGGGGACTTAAAGGTCAAGGTCAAAGGTTAAGCCTCTGTGGCGAAAGGTCAGTGTCACTCGCGGCTTGAGTATATCGTTCGCTTGCGGCTTGCGGTTTGAGTCTGTCGATGGACTGCTGTTTGAGGCTGTAGTCCGCTGAGGGACTGCTGTTTGAGGCTTAAGTCTGCTGATGGAATGCTGTTTGGGGCTTGATTCTGCTGATGGACTGCTGTTTGAGGCTTGAGTCCCCTGATGGACTGCTGTTTGAGTCTTGAGTCCGCTGATGGACTGCTGTTTGGTCTTGAGTCTGTCAATGGGCTGCTGTTTGAGGCTTGAGTCCGCTGATGGACTGCTGTTTGGTCTTAAGTCTGTCAATGGGCTGCTGTTTGCGACTTGAGTCTGTCGATGAGTTACTGCCTGCCGGAGAGCTGATGCGGGCCATAAAAAAACCGCACAGCTAGCTGCAGTGGATGCAGGGAACATTCCGCTAACTCCTCTTTCCAAGTGTTAACCAGTCGCGCACTCTCTCTCTCTTGGTCGTAGTGTACACTCACTAGCTCTCACTCACACTCACTCTCACTCATTCACAAACACTATATCTACTTTATCTCACTGTCTACTCATTCTGTCGCCCGCACACCCCCTATTTCACTCATCCATTCAATAAATCCTTTACTCAGGCACGTATCCCCCTGGCAAACTCGAAAACTTCGTTGGTAATTCATTCACGGCCAGACCCAAGCACCTGTACGCCGGTAGTGTACGAACGAACAACAGCCCTTAGTCCCGAGCGGCGAAAAAGCCGCCTCCAATCTTAAAAAATGCAAAAGGTGGTCTTCAGGTCTCCGCACTTCAGCCACGTGGTCTTCAGGTCTCCGCACTTAAGTGCGAAGAAACAGACGCGCGCAGCGCAACACCCATGCATTTTGGACAATATGCTCCCCAGCCAAGTCCTCCCCAGCCCCTTGGCCAAGCCCCAGTCCTCCACAGCCACTTGGCCAAGCCCCAATCCTCCCCAGCCACTTGGCCAAGCGCCAGTCCTCCCCAGCCAAGCGCCAGTCCTACCCAGCCAAGCGCCAGTCCTCCCCAGCCAAGCGCCAGTCCTCCCCAGCCAAGCGCCAGTCCTCCCCAGCCAAGCGCCAGTCCTCCCCAGCCAAGCGCCAGTCCTCCCCAGCCAAGCGCCAGTCCTCCCCAGCCAAGCGCCAGGCGTCAGTGTGCGCTGCTCATTGTCGGTGTTTTGGCCCTCACAGGGCAGGCAGATGGATCCCCTCCCCTCCCCCCTCCCACACACAGCCGCATTCGTATGGTTACGGAAAATTCTTCAGCAGCGTTATGCAATTTAACTGAACTGATTACACATCGCGTTGTGTGTTTTTTTTTCTTCACGCGGCAGAACACTGGGCTATGATAAGCATGGAAGGCTTGTATAGACATTTTGACGTCCACATGTCCTGCTTGCTGTTCATTGGTAGATCCTTCGTTGGCACGAAGTACTCGGTATAAAGAATGATCTACCGACACGCAAATCACTTTTTATAATTGGTAACTTACACAACGTCGGTTGAGGTCAGTAATCCATGGTGACCTTGTATGATGCTTGCTCAGCCCCAGTTCACTTCACTGTACCGCATCTGATTTAGACCACCTTGCCTACGTTTTCCGTGCTTATGCATTTCACTGGAAAATACCAGTTTATGGCCCGGAAATTTGTAAGTCATTGACCATACAGTCTCAAGCGTTTAGTTCAACCTGACCTCGGGGTTACCGGTCACTCTCGACAGCCCAAACCGGACATCATTCTATTTTTAGGCACCGGCCGGTTCACGGGTGTATTTCGGTTCTAGGCTGTTCGCTCACATACATGCGCACGCACGCACGCACGCACGCACGCACGCAAGCACGCACGCACACACTCACACACGCACACACGCACACGCGCACGCACACGCGCACGGCACATACGCACGCACGCACGCACACATGCACGCGCTGTAGGAACTAAACTGACGACGCCAAACCGCGATCCATGTAAACGACCTATAGATTTGTCGTTGGAATTACCGACAAGAGGACCAAGAGCCTCCCAGTTAGACTATTTGAAAATAATAACTCCTTACCAAAGACATGAGTTGCGTGACGTCATGGAGGCGCTCCGCCTGTAGCACGTGCTCACGAGTTTGATGCCATTGTCAGGCAACGCGCCATTTGCTGGGATGTCGTCGGTCCTTCAGAGAAAGCCGCAGGCGTACGTTGGAAACCGGACATCACAAGACGAGACCTGCAAGGTCGAAGTCATGAAGCCGGATTCCACACCGCGGTGAAAGCCTCTCATGAAGGCTGCTATTCCAGAACTGGGCTTTCTCCAATTTATCGTGAATATCAAGGACTGTTGGTGGGTACATGTGTCTACATTAGGCATATCAAAGTGACATTCATAAATAGTTTTCGCGTTGCCTGCTCTGGAGTGAGCGAATCAACTGATGAGAGTGGTGACGGTGCGAACATGAGCCTGGGATCATTATTCCTATTTTTGGCCTGCTACAACCTTGTGACGGCTGGTCCCAGCTGGTACAACGGCGACCCAACGACGTCATTAGAGATCACAAAGAGGATCATCCCGGTCTTCCTGCTCGTCTTAGTGCTGGAAGCCGGGGCCGCACACCGCATCTGGAGCGGTTGCGGCTTCTGAACTTGGCCGAAATGTTTCTGGCTCAGTTCGGTGCATTCTTGGTCAGTGGCGCCCTTGTGCAACCGCCTGGAAGGCCACATAAAAAACGCGATAAAATGCGCCCCCGCCAGGGCATAAATGCAGTTAGGATGGAAAGACAGACCCCTGTTCAGTGCGTTCGGCGTTTCGCTATATATTTTCCTGCTGTTTTCGCGAACCAGCCTTGTTTGGTAAAGCAGCTCCCGATCAACATCAGCATCATCGACCATCACCATCATCATCATCATCATCACCATCATCATCATCATCATCAACATCGATCAACATCATCAGCTCCTGATCAACCACCGCAAAGCTCCGTACTGAGATGTTGAGTGTCATAGGTGTTTTCGTGCCTCTTCTTGCCCAACGGAGCTTCAGCTCTTTAGGTCCTCCTTAGGTGGGTACATGTGTCTACATTAGGCATATCAAAGTGACATTCATAAATAGTTTTCGCGTTGCCTGCTCTGGAGTGAGCGAATCAACTGATGAGAGTGGTGACGGTGCAAACATGAGCCTGGGATCATTATTCCTATTTTTGGCCTGCTACAACCTTGTGACGGCTGGTCCCTCTAAGGAGGACCTCCTTAGGTTAGGTCTAAGTTAACTCCAGCTAACTTAGGTTGTGCCCCATTTTGATTTGGCGATGATAAGGCATGTCTGTGATGATACGATCGTCCTGCATCCTCTCATGGCATCTCAAGCATCTACCCCGGCATCTTAACTGTCCCAGGCGGTGATAGGTGCCCTGTGACATTCTCAGACACCCGCTTTCAGGTGATGCTGTTCACAGCCTCCTGTGACTACCTCACTGTCTTCGTTTGCCCCTATTCCAGCTCGTGATGATGACAATGCCTTCTTTGATGACCTCTAACCCGGACCTCCCGTGCTCCGGCTGGATGATGACTCCTCTGACCCCGTGCGTCCCCTGTCCCAGCTGATGACGAAGCAGGCCTCCTGACCTGACCTCTCGGGTCTTAACCTCCCGTCGCCGCGACGCCGATGCCCCCTCTGACGCCGTGAACCCCCCGTTGCAGGTTGTGGTGATGATGGTCGTCTGCGTGGTCGCCTACACACTCGCCTGGCTGCCGTACCACGTGTTCGAGCTGACCACCCATCACTTCCCGGTCGTGTTCAGTTGGCCGAACATCCGCATCCTCTTCTGGGCCGTCCACGCCGTCGCCATGTCGCACTGCTGCATGAACCCCGTCATCTACTTCGCGATGAACGACAAGTTCCGCGAGCACCTTGTGGGCGTGCTGCGCCGCGGCCGCGCGCCCCGCAGGGGGCGCAGCGCGCGCGACCTGTCGCGCTACACGGTCGAGTGCCTCAACATGCAGCGGCTCAACGGCACGGCCACGAGGTCCACCTGCATGCACTCGCTCAAGTACGACACGAACGGCGTGTAGCACCGCCGCGCTCGGCCCGGCTCGACTCAGCGCGATGGGCATCCGCCTGAGCTGAGTCCTCGGCGGCGGGTGGAGCGCCGTGGCGTCGCTGCCGATGACGCCGGCGGCACGACGCCGAAGAGCGGCGCGGCTGCGTCCCCCATCGCGGCGCGACGGCACGGGGAGGCCGCTCGCGGCGGGCTCTAGTGGCGGCTAGCGAGAGCGGCGCGCGGAGGTGCAGGCACGACGCCCGGTGGACTCGGCCCTCCCCGGCGGAGGGCACCGCCGTGACGCGTGGTCCCGCACGTGATGACGCTGATTGCTGATTGGTGGACGGCCTGTGAGCGGACCCGCCAGCGGCCGTGCGGTCCGCCCCGGCACCGACGCCCCCTCCTCCGACGGGCACGCGGCGGGCGCGGGCGCCGTCGCGTCGGTCTCGACGACCGTCGGCGCGTGCCGGTCCCCGCGGCCGCCGACAGCGTGAATCACATGCTGGGCGGGTCGTGTGCGGCGCTGTGGCGCGCGTGGCACGTGACGCGTGTGTGGCGAGCGCGGCACGTGACGGCCGCGAGCGGAGCGGAGGTGAGGACCGGCTGCAACGGCTGTCGCGGCGCTGGGCGCTGAGCCGGTGAGCTGGGTCTCCACGTCCCGGCTCACATGACGGGAGGGACGTGGAGAAGAGAGTGAGACCACGTCCCGGCTCACCTGGCGGCAGGGACGTGGAGAAGAGAGTGAGACCACGTCCCGGCTCACCTGACAGCAATGACGTGGAGAAGAGAGTGAGACCACGTCCCGGCTCACTTGACGGCAGGGACGTGGAGAAGAGAGTGAGACCACGTCCCGGCTCACTTGACGGCAGGGACGTGGAGAAGAGAGTGAGACCACGTCCCGGCTCACTTGACGGCAGGGACGTGGAGAAGAGAGTGAGACCACGTCCCGGCTCACTTGACCTCAGGGACGTGGAGAAGAGAGTGAGACCACGTCCCGGCTCACTTGACAGCAGGGACGTGGAGAAGAGAGTGAGACCTCCACGTCCCGGCTCACCTGACAGCAGGGACGTGGAGAAGAGAGTGAGACCACGTCCCGGCTCACTTGACAGCAGGGACGTGGAGAAGAGAGTGAGACCTCCACGTCCCGGCTCACCTGACAGCAGGGACGTGGAGAAGAGAGTGAGAGGTGGTCCGGACAGTAATTCGATGTCGAGGTAGTTTTTGCCGCTGTCGTCGTCTCTTTTGACATGGGTGCAGAGCATGGGTGGAGGGGTGGATGGCGGACGACCATTGTCCACCCATTTTGGGTGACATTTTAATGTTTATAACGACGATTCATGGAAGGAATCGTTCGAAAGGCTATGTTTCTGGCAATGTCTCGACGGCCCGGGTCCTTGCCGGCTGGCCGTTGGAGGGTGTACGCATTGGAACTTCGGGGACTGCACGTCATTGCAGTGCTGCCCTCTTATTGGTTGTGGATGGCAGAGAAAAATCATGGAATGGTGGGAAATTCCAGTATCCCCATGCACTGAAACGTGATGTTTCGGGAGCTGTTTTTGAACAATCTCAGACATGTTTTTCCGGAACATAAATGTTCCGTCACGACACCGTGCTTTTCGGAAGGCACAGTGTATTTAACTTCAAATTTAAAAAATGTGGTTATTCTCATATCTTCTTAATGGGACGGGATCTGTTTGATTGTACCGCGGGCTTAAAATCGTCAGAACCGTCCTTAAAGACGCAAAGCCGTCGAGGAAGCCGAGGTACGTCACCTGCATAACACTGAAGGCACGTCTTTTTCACTGGCCTAGCTGTCGCGTTGACAGTTTTCAAAAGATCTGTGAGTGCTGGACATTGCGACTCTGTTGGTGTGATGCTGTATTTGCGGGTGTTATCGTTTAAGGCGTTATTAAGTGCTTAACCTGTTGTTTAACCCTCTCATGTTGGGGAAAATGCTCCTACGAGTTCGTGGTTATGCCACGGATCAATGATCTTCTTATCGTAAACCCGTTGTTTTCTGTGTTGTCTACTGTCTGTTGTATTCAAAACTTGACATGTACAGTGATTCGGAACCCGTGAAACCCGTAGGGTACCCGCAGCGTTACCAACATGGTTCCTCGTGGTGGAGGCTGAACGCCATCACCTTTCCCCTACTGGTGCCTGAAGATAATCCTCTTTTCTTTCTCAAGAGTGACTTACGTTGTTTAAAAGTCGAATGACTTAAATTCAGTGAAAATTGGACCTCAGCTCAAGGTTATTTTGTTTCCCCAGACTTGGCCACCCAACGTCAATACAGTTGCAGTGCCTATGGGTATCTGCATACAGATATCGAATGTGCCCGTTCTTGATATCGCCGATGTTTTGTGTTTTAGATGTATTTTTTGTGACCTGCTTTGGTCATGCGTACACACACACACAACACACACACACACACACACACACACACACACACACACACACACACACACACACCCCCACCACACACACACACACACACCACCAAACCCACCCACACCCACACACACACACCCCCACACACACACACACACACACACACACACAACACACACCCACACACACACACACACCACACACCCACACACACACACACACACACACACTCCACACACCCACACACATATATATATATATATATTATATATATCTATATATATATATGCATGTATTTGGTGTTGTTTTTGTTTGTGTGTGTGTTTGTGTGTGTGTTGTGTGTGTGTGTGTGTGTGTGTGTGTGTGTGTGTATGCGCACGCGCGCATGCGTTGGGCGTGCGTGCGAGGGCGCCCGCGCGCTTGCGTGCGTCAGCAGTACCAGCTACATTTCCTCCCAGCTGACGTCGCCCGCGCGCTCTCCGCAAGCGCGGCGGTACCCAGGGTTCGTGAGGCACCAATCTGGGGACTATATGTTAAATGTGGACCCATGCTTGCGCGTTCCCGTGGAAACCCGGAGGGACGCTTTAAATGCCGGCCGCTTAATCGCATGTTTCGATCGCGCGCTCGTGAAATCTGTTAATACACTTTGACTGTTTTATCTCGCTTGTTGTCGGGGAATTCTGAAGGTGGTCTGTTCTCCGCAGAAAGCAGTTATAAACGTGATTGGCTGGGTGAATGCCCACATAAGCACGAACGCTGTAACATTTCACGTAATTGCACCCTTGATATTGATCAGACCGATGCCTGTAGATACGCGAGCAGTTGTGACATAGAGACAGACTTCAAATTGAACCTTAGCAACGGAGCTCCTACCGCGACATGTCATGACGTGCCATCTTTTCCCTGGCTAAGCGGATGCAACAGCCAACAACTGCACACATCGGACGGAGGGCTTTTGAGGGGCAGAAAGAGACCACCAATCACGAAATTTGGATTAATAAAGCTGGCATGACTTCGAGCTGGGTCATCAAAACATCGCGCGGCTTCGATCATGCCGGTGTCAGACTATGACCCGGTGTCAGACTATGACCCGGTGTCAGACTATGACCCGGTGTCAGACTGTGACCCGGTGTCAGACTGTGACCCGGTGTCAGACTGTGACCTCCGTCCTGACTTCGAGCCTCGCGACATGACCCTGACGAGGGTGCTAACCTCCAGAAGAGTACCTCTGATCGACACCCAAACGTTAGCCTGTGTGAACATGCTCCATGGATGATGGCTCTCCATCAAGTCTCGCACAGTTAATATTCACGAAAGCTTCGAATCGAAAGCAGCGTTACGTTTGTCAGTATAGCATCCTGGAGTAGGAATCGATTATGTCTGCACAGCGGCCTAATTCAGAAACCGTTTCTATCAGATCAGCGATCTGGTTAATGTGCCGACTCCATTAGCACAGGGACCTGACCCATGAGTCGATTACGTTGTCACAGCGACCAGATTCATGAAGCGATTTCATCAGCAAAGCGACCTGCGACATGAACCGATTCCGGTTGAGCACAGCGGCCTCGTATCGTTTATAAGGCTCGTTAACGGATCCTGAAGTCAGTGACGTGCGCTGACCACGTTGTAAACCACCTGACTACTTTGTGAGCCACCTAACCACTGTGTGAACCACCTAACCACTATTTGAACCACTTAACCATTGTGTAAACCCCCTGACCTCTGTGTAAACCATCTAACCACTATGTGACCCACCTAACCACTGTGTAAGCCACCTGCCCGCTTTGTAAACCATCTAACCATTATGTGAACTACCTAACCACTGTGCAAAGCACCTGACCTTTGTGTAAACCACCTAACCACTATGTGACCCACCTAACCACTGTATAAACCACCACCTACTTTTCCGACGGGGACCATGGTTGGGTCCCGCAAGGAAAGGGGACCCTCAGCAAGCCGAGATATGCATGTAAGCGGCTCCCAGCGTCAAGTGGACGGACAGCAAAAAGAAACCGCGGGGAGATAATGGTTACCGTTTTTCGCACATATTCGGACTTGGATGACGGGCCTATCTTTGATGGAAACTGTGTGTGTGTGTTGGGGGGGGGGGGGGGGTCGGTTACGGTTACTGAAGCTGTGGGACATGTAAAAACCTGGCAACCAGTGACGGATTCACGAGGGACTAGATTTCCTACGGAATACCGCGTCTCATCGGTGACGTCACTGCGGATGCCGATGGTGTGGCGGTTAACGCGTCCGCGTTATCCTCCGCGCGTCTGGGAAACCAGAGGTACTGGGTTCGATTCCTCGCGGTGCCCGCCCTTCTTGCCAGGGTGAGAGGCAGGCGACCCCATGTAGCCTTAGCAGCTGAGTGCGTTATAAAGCCCCAATGACGATGGTGGTCGATCATTGGACTGATGCTGCTTTCCTCAATAATATGACCCCTACGAAATTTGATGTCATAAAAGCAAGGAATGCAGTTAGTGCTGTAAGATGCTGACTGACGTTAGCTATTTAATTGTACAACGAAGGCAAACCGAAGTCATTTAGTATAACTATCGTATGCCGAACATTTCAGTAAGGCTGAATTTGATGCCTGTACAAAATCCATTGTTGTTGTCGTTGTCATGGTTACGAGCC